GTTAGGAGAATAGGTTGACCGACACAGATACGAAAATACGAGTTTTGAGTTTGTGGGGGAGGGGGCAATGTATGTTTATTTTTAAAAAAACATTGCAATTAGCATATAAGAAAAACAACTATAGTACAACAATCTATCTTAATCTACTCAAACACTTTTAACTGCTAAACACATAGTTATTTATTTGAGAATTTCAATAGGTATGTTCTAATGTTCTAAAAGTGGCATAAATGTTTAACGTAAAACAGCTGATATGTTTAAACAGAGAGATCTTTTTACTGAATGAACAGTTAAAGGTTTAATAATGTAAAACTCTAAAGTATATCGGGGATTGCCCTCTTTACATGGGAAGTCACTTGAAACTACACTTACAGTGTTTAGAGAAAACGTGTGAACATTTTGTATTTTAGGATCATGTTGCCATTTTTTAAAACTATTTTCCTCTTCTATTAATTTCAAGATTCAAACCTAACTTTTGTTGTATGAAGAAAGGAATCGAGTCTTATCCACATACAAGGATTTTCTAATCCCTAGCTTTGAACGCGAATGTCTTAACACCTATGAGTTTGGGAAGAAATCAAATCATCACTATTGTAGTACTATTGGAGACCGCTTTCCATTTGAGACCCCAATGGAAGTCTCATTGGAGACCCCCAAATTCTCGTTAAAGACCCAAATAGTTTCATTGGAGACCCCGTATTTTTATTGGAGACCCCATATCTTTATTTAAGACCCCTTATTTTCGCTGGAGACCCAATATTTTCATTGTAGACCCCAATATTTTAATTGTAGACCCCCATATTTTCATTGGAGACACCACATATTTTTATTGGAGACCCAATATTTTCATTTAAGGCCCCCTATTTTCGTTAGGAACCTCTATATTTTCATTTTAGTTTGTGGCAACAACTCAATTCCGTTGAAGAAACGAAAGATAAAATGGATTAATAAGAAGGTATTAGACTTAAAACTTTGTTCGCCTCTTATTTCTTTCGACAGATTAATAAAACTTTCATTATATTCAGAGAGTATTAGAAAAACTTTATTTTTTTGCAACAATTTTATAAGAAAAGAGTTAAGATTTAATAATGGATGTGTATTCAATCATTTTAATGAAGTCACTTTTGAAGACTAGAAACCAATAATGAAATAATACAGTTTAAAAAACAAAAAATGGATATCTTATTCACACAAAGCTTTTAAGGGTACCGTTGTAAATCGGGCATTGCCATCTTTGTATACTAAATTCCAACATGGGGCTTACCCCCCCCCCCACCTTATTTTCTTGTTGTTTATTATGATTTATTATAAATACAGGGCTTCATGAAATCAAATTGCATGTTTTTCTTTGTTTAAACTAATTCACTGTTTAGTGAAATAAACTTTTAGAAAAATACTTTTCATTTTTTCTTTTTTATCTGAATAAACAAGAAAAAAGTGAAATTTTTCATCTTAAAACAGGGAAAAAGTTATTAAAACTTTATAGTAGATGAAAGAGAACCCTGTATTTTTTCGTGAATTTTCAAAATTCAACGAAAATATTTATTTTTGAGAGACAAAATTTTGATATTCTGATCATCCATAAACCTTCGCTAGGATCAAGTAAGGTCCCACAAAAAAAATGCCCCCCGATCGGTTCAGCCGTTTTGACGTTTATTGGATATTAAAGATAAGAACACAGACAAACAGGCAAAGTATAAATATGTAGATTACATATTTTATGGCCCATATTGCAAAAAAGTTTCAAAATAAAAATTTAAAAAAAATATTTCTTTGCTTTTAAATTTCTAATCTTCAATCTCTGACTAACCACGCTGTTTGTAATATATTAAAATAAATAAAAAATAAAAATATGAAAACATATTTTTTGAAATTTTTTTTTATCTATTTGATTAAAATTCGAATTTATTCTTTAATTTTCTTGAAATAAAGATTAACTTTAAACCCGACAATTTGATAAATTAATTTTTTAAGAAATTATTTTTAAAAATAATAGTTAATAGTTTTATTAACTTGGCTGAACTTGTTATAACAATCTTTGAGAAGATTGACAACATACAATTATTTAACAACACCTTTTTTTATAAAGTAAAGTAGAGCCTCCTGAGGTAAAGTTTAATTAACTTAATATTTTATGTCTTCCATGAATAAATAAACCTTTCTCACTTTACCACCGTGCACAGTGATCCAAAGGTTGCAACCTCTAAGGGAAATTCTCTGAGAGTTTTGCCAATTACTTTTTTTAACTTAAGTTTAAAAACAGTTAATTTACAGTTTTAAAATGTAGGCTACTAGGCTACAATAAAAGTGAACAACATGTAAAATCAAAGGCCAAGGGGTTGTGATACGTCGTAGGCTCAAGTCTTAAAAAATTGATAGAACTTTTTATAACTGCATCAGCATCTTTGCTTTCATCCAACAAGATTCAAGGGAAGCAACGTCAAAGTAAATTTCATATTAAATATAAATATAAACTCCTAATATATATATATACAGAGCGTCCCATATCATATTAGATTATCTCTAATCTTTAACGACAAAATAAACCCTTAATACTCGAAAAACTTATCATTTTCCGCAAGAAAATTATTATATAAGCCTTATGTTATTTTTCAAATTGATTTATTCTAATTAAATTTTCTTATTAGTCCCGAAAATCGCAATTTAGACCTGTTGACGGTCTAATATGATGTGGGACACCCTGTATATATATATATATATTTATGTGGTATTATTACTTTTTTTAAGTAAATAAATGGAACTGTTCACTTAATCTTAAGTTACACTCCTTCATAAAGAGAGGTTTCTCATCATGAGAAAAATTAGCAGCAGCGGCACAAAGTGAAGAAAGAATTCGGACGGGATTGGTCAAATTCTTCGACAAAGACAAGAATAGTGAGTGAAAAAGTGAATTGAAATGAATTCAATTATCCCTAAACCAGACAGTTAGGAACTTAATGCATGCATTAAGTACAGAGTGTCCCATTAAACATGAGAATTTAAAGACGACTTGAAAATCGTCTTTGAATTATGAATGTCACGGTGCGTATCCAAAGTTCAAAAAATAAGTTTAGTTTATTTTAGCTTCTTAATACCTTATTAGTTATTTAGAAAAGGAACTGAGTTTTTGCCACAAATTCTGATTTTCTAATCCCTTTATCTTTGCAGCCTCATGGTATAAACATTTGATAATTCAAACTATCATTATTTGATCGAAAATAATTCACAGTTTAAAATATCAAAGATCTTCTACATTAAACTGCGAAGAAATAGGGATTATAAAATCAGAGTTTGTGGAAAAAAACTCAGTTTCTTTGATTTAAATTGAAAAATTGAAAACTCTGCGAATTTCTAAAGATTTCTGTAAATTAAGAACGTACAACGAAGGCAGACCACATCTTTTGGAAATTACATTTTTCGTGGTCGTCATTGAATAATTTAAATAAAACTGATTCTTAAATCAAACCTCCAAAATGGACAATCTATAAGGATTTTAAAGATTTCATTTGCACTCTTGCTGAACAAGCCTTGTCTTCTTTTAATTATCATCAATAATGATTATGTTTATTGGGACACTCTGCTCAATTTCTCTATTTTCTACCAGATTAAATGTTTCTCTCTAAATATATATTTTCAATCTTGAATTAAACGTTTAGGTTTCTACACTGCTTCCTCCTCTCCTCCTCTTTCCCTGTAAAACAAAAAACATGTAAAGCAAGAAGTTTAGGATTAAGAAAATTATGTTATCAAAATGTCATCAATTCATTTTGATAGTTTAAATGTTAGTTTTATGCTGACCCATATATGTTTTACATACACTGCATTTTCGTAGCCCAACACTAAAGTATTTGAAAAGGCAGTTCAGCCTCTCTGTGGGTTAATTTATATCTCTCCATATGCATAAGGAAGTTCAGCGTATGTTTACATACAGTGCTATAGGACTGGGCATGAGGTCCAACTTTTCAAACCGTTTCGTTAACGGTTAGTTTCAACCGTTAAAATCAATCCTCAGAAAGCCGTAAATCTTAGAGGGTAAGAACGAACGTTCGTTAAAGATTAATGAAATCGTTAACGGTGCAATTGTTAACGGTCTATTACAATATTAATGGCGTTAACGACACGAAAAACATCAAACACATAGAAAATTTTTTTTAAGTTTAATGCATCAGAAAAAAACTTAATTCACCGTTTTCGTTTTCGTTTTCAACCGTTAATTTTTTCGTTTAATATTCTTATTAAAGGAAGGAAAAGTTCAGTTCTACGATAGCGGTAGAAGGGCCATTTGGCCAGATGACCTTTGAAATTTTTTTTCCTAAATAAGCAGCGTACTTCCGGGAGTTGAACGGAAATATACACATGCTGAAATCCTTATAGAGAAATGAATTATCTCACAAGAAGGCTGAACTGCCTTTTAAATAAGAAAATCTTCTAAGAAACTTAGGTTTCGGGCTGCGGAAATACATCCTAATACATAGTTTGGAATTGATGAAAAGCAAGAAGCAGTTAAACCAGGTTAGTAAACTATTTATTTGGCGTATATGAAGAAGTAGTTGAGCTTGCTTTGCTATAGTTAAAGTGCTTATCGCTAACTAATTGATCCGTCTCTTAGTATATTATACACAATGTTCTAAGGGCCGCCGTTTAATATGTATTGAGTTTTTCTTTATGTTGATGAAATCATTTTTTTTAATATCTGAAGACATCTTTTTAAGAAAGGATTCCAAAAATAAAAATAGTTCTTGCCTGTGACGAGACTGAGTAGTCCTCTCACTGTTTCCTTAATTGTTCTAACAAACAATAAATACTCAAAACAGGGGGTCTCATAAAATCTACTTTGAGAAAATTTACACCATTAAAGATACTGTAAGCGTAATTTTAAGTGGCCTTCTCTGCAATTATACCAATGCCCGTATCAGAACGGTACCCGTAAAAGCTCTTTTCGGGCGATCAAATATATATATTTATTACAAAATTGAAAAATGGTTTATTTCTATTTTTGAAGCTTGTATTTTGAATCCTAAAAAGATTTAGATTAAAAAAAATTTAATTTATTTTAAAAAATAAATCATTAGAAATCCTTCTTAGAGGAGTTTCCCGACTTAAAGATTAATTCAGGTAATCTGATGAGTGGTTTCTATCTATCTATCTATCTATCTATCTATCTATCTATCTATCTATCTATCTATCTATCTATCTATCTATCTATCTATCTATCTATCTATCTATCTATCTATCTTTCTATCTATCTATGTATATATAATAAGATCTTCTTTTAAATTGCGCACAATCCCTTTAATTTTAATTTCTTTATTGCTGAGTAAAATATTTTCCTGTGATGGGTTTTTGGTTCTTTATTCTCGTACAATCTAAACATCAGTGAAATAGTAAAAATATTAGAAATAGTAAAGATATTAGAAATATAAAAAATATTAGAAATAGTAAAAATATTAGAAAAAGTAAAAATATTAGAAACAGTAAAACATATTAGAAACAGTAAAAATATTAGAAATAGTAAAAATATTAGAAATAGTAAAAATATTAGAAATAGTAAAAATATTAGAAATAGTAAAAATATTAGAAACAGTAAAACATATTAGAAACAGTAAAAATATTAGAAATAGTAAAAATATTAGAAATAGTAAAAACATTAGAAATATAAAAATATTAGAAGTAGTAAAAATATTAGAAATAAAAAAAAAATTAGAAATAGTAAAAATATTTCTCAAGTTCCAGAGCTGGGAACTTTTGTGTTTAATACTCATAATCCCGATCCACAGATCTCGATATCAAAAGTTGGCACTTTTTAAATTTTACTCAGACACTTCTTGAACTCTCTCTTTGCTCTCATTGGTTGAACGCAATATTTACTGGCTTCTGATTAGTGTTCGTTGACCACAGACGACATTCAATACGGAAAATGGAATAAAGATTAAATTAATCTGTAGATTAATAAAAGATCGATAAAAAGCATTGATCTCGATATCCACAATACAAGAGCTCCCAGCTCTAGTTTATCTATTCACAATTCATAAATCACTCTTACCAAGTGGGGCCCAAAAAACTGAAGAATAGGAGGACGACATCTTAAAAATCTTGTATAAGGCAAATGATTTATTGAAAAAATAGGTATTGTTTACTGTATAAGCGACACAAATGCTGTTTTTCATTTTGTTAAACATTCAAATGGATAACTTTAGACTAACAGTCGTCTTTCGTAACCACAGTTTTTGGATCCCACTGTATTTAATCAATACAACTTAAAATATATTTCCTTTGTTTTCTTAATAGTTTAAACTCGTGTTTCTTGAAATCCTTCTTCTCATTTTAAAAGTGTTCTTTCCCTCAACTTTTTAATTTTCTCATGATAAAGCTTTCTTCAGAAATGTTGAAACTCGGGGATTTTCCCTCCTCGTGATACAACTTATTCTCTCCATCAACTTTAAAGAGACAGTCCGCGTAAAAAGAAATGAAATCTGATTTAAAAAAATAATAATACAAACAACAACGGCGACTTTGAAATCACTTCTGAGCAGCAATTACGAAAAGAAAATTAGTTTCAGTGTCCGAATTTAATGAATTTGAGCCTCGTCAAAAATCCACCATAAACAGGTTTCAATTGAGCGCCAGCTTAAATCTTGAAATAATGAATACGATTTTAATTGGAACCAACCATATTTGAGCCACGGCTTAAAATTAAGCCGCAGGTCTCATAATTTCCGTAAAATTCTCTCTTTTTGAGATGTCACTTGAAATTACGTCAGCAGCCCCTTTAAACAGAGACAATTCATATCTACCCGACAAAAGCAAGCTCTGTTGAGAATCTCAAAAACGTTAAAAGTTGATTTTTAAAGGATTTGAACCCAGTTTTTTGTCAGAGATGTTTTGACGTGTTTCAGTCTTAAGATGACATATGTTAAAGTCAATACACTCGAACTATCTACAGGGTTAGCTTTAACAGAACAGAAAACTTTCCGTTAGTATCTTTCCCCAAAAATATCTAAACCTTGACTCTACCTAAACTGCAGCACAATATCATGAATCTTGACAGTACAGTGTTTACAGTACCTAAATTGCAGTACAATAGCATAAACTCTGACTGTACTGTACCTAAGCTGAAGTACAATCCCGACTAGTAGTTCATCCACCATATGCCCGCATCCAGGGGAGCTCTCAGTAAACTTTACCTTATTAAGCTAAAGTTACAACTAGTGTTGTTCATGTATCTACAATATGGTATGTTGAATGTTCACTATATTATCCTTCCCTGGTTGTTGCCATATTTTTATGTTAAACAGAAAAATTCAGTTTTTTGCAAAAACCTTAAATGACCAAGAAAGTTACATGTCCACAGGCAAGTCAGCATTCAAAATTTTCCTTTTTTTTTTTGAAAATTCACAAATAAAACCGGAAAATCCACCAATCTATTACTGCCACAGTGCAGTTTCAAAATGTTCGAAGATGAAATGTTTTCAAGTACAGATAGATTATGAACAACAACAAAAACTGAAGTAATTTCTAGGAAGATGTCCTATAATTGCTATTTCCATGTCATGTATATAATAAACATGGCTAAAAAAATTTAAATGTATCATTATTATATTCCTACCTGGTATTTGACCGCTAGATCACATCCCTCTGTTGGCTCAATAACACGTGATCTAAATTCATTTATATTATCAGAGGAAAAATAAACACTTTATTTTTATTCATCATGAATTGTTTTTAATCTTCTTTATTTTTCACTTAAAGGTATTCATCTTTATTATTTTATTTTGAATGGTTTCAGTTTCTTCTTCTAAAGTTTTATTCAAATAAGACGAAACAGCCTAATCGTAGAAACCTATAAAATGCCATAAACGATTAATAACTGTATCCTTCATTTTTCAATCTTAAAAAGAATTGTGGAGTGTTTGCCGTTATTTAACAGGTTTAAGACAAATATCAGACATTTTTTCTTTTGTCTTTATCGTAGCTAGACGTAAATGATCCACGGTCGTGAGAACTATAATTATATCTCCTGTCTATCGATTTGTACGAATGTGTTTTTCAATTTCCAGTGAAAGGGGAAAAAGTAATCTATTTCCGATTCCTTTTTCGTTTAGTTTCTTTAGCGGAAGCAAACCATTGCGAAAAATCATTCCCTCGCAATTGCATTTTTTGTCGCCACATTTTTTTGTGAAATATTTGTCCATTTTAACGCTTTTGTTAGCGTCAAACTCATTCCGCACAAAGAATGCGGAAAAATGCAGAATTTTCAGCGGATCAAAAATGTGCTTGCAAAATTTGCGATTTTTCTTTTCCGCCCGAAACTGTAGTTGTATAACATTTCTCTAGCTGTGTATATATATATAGTGTATGTAGTGTTACAGTACAAATATTTACACTGTAAACCTTGTTAGTTCATTTCAATCTTTACACTGTTCTTCTAGAAACTACATTCTTCATTTCTATGCAGTTCGCTTATAAAGTGAGTAATCGTGTAAAATGGACTATTTGATCGATTGGAGGGAAATGGATGATAGAGTAATATTTTGGAATGGATTATTGTATAAATTAGAGAAAAGAACCATTTTTATAATGGAATGGAGTATTGTTGAATCAAAGGATAATATTCCAATGGTCTCCTACTCTTCATTTTTTCAAAACTCCATGGTTCCTAGATAGAATATGTATTGCTATCCTACCCTCTCCCGTTGACAATATTCCAATGGTCTCCTATTCTCTATTTGTTCCTACAATAGTCCCTAGCTAGAAATAGAATAGGTATTGCAATCCTACCCTTCCCCGTGGATAATACTCCAATGATCTCCTATTCTCTATTTGTTCCTACAATAGTCCCTAGCTAGAAATATAATAGGTATTGATATCCTACCCTCTCCCGTTGATAACACTCCAATGGTCGCATGCTCTCTATTTGTTATTACTCCACGGACCCTAGCTAGAATTGCTATCTTTCCCTCTCCTGTTGCTAATACTCCTTGGAATGACCCTATTTTGTCCGCAGGCCTCAATCCCATCATTGTAGTATTTAGTAATTGGACCAATCTTCATAATAATACTCTTATATATTCTAACCTCGCTAGATCAGATTTGTTCCCAACTAGTATACAGGGCTTCTCTAGCAGCGAACCATACTTAGAAAGCCAGTCCAGACAGCTGTCAGCATACTCTAGATAACACAGCTGTTATATCTGCTATATATACTGTATTTTCGTTTATGGCATGACTGTCTGTCATGTCTGTCATGTCTGTCATGTCTGTCATGTTTGTCATGTTTGTCATGTCTGTCATGTCTGTCATGTTTGTCATGTTTGTCATGTTTGTCATGTTTGTCATGTCTGTCATGTCTGTCATGTCTGTCATGTCTGTCATGTCTGTCATGTACGTCATGTCTGTCATGTCTGTCATGTCTGCATGTATGTCATGTCTGTCATGTCTGTCATGTCTTTCATGTCTGTTAAACTTACTAAGACTATCTTTATCGTCTACAGCATAAACAATAACAAAGCAATCTGGATTTTGATCCTCTACAACCTCCTTTACTGTTAAATCCTCTACAGCTGCCTCTAAATAAATACGCAAAATAAATTAAATAAGATTAAAGGGATTGTCAAAATAATTTAGTAAAGACGTAAAGTAAAAAGGAATTGAGTCTTTGTCACAAAGTCTGCTTTAAAATTCTTTGCAAATCATCATATAGGTTTGGATTAGAAAATTTAAGTTTGTGGCAAAGACTCAATTCCGTTACTGGACTTCTCTGCTTTTGGCATTAAATGTTTTTAATAATTTTGTTGTTTTGATTTATGATTAATTCCAGATTCAATTCGGATACAGCTAATACACACCTAATAGTAAAAACTTTGATTTCAACCCCCTATAGACTATTTGAATATAAACATTTTTTCAATTTTAAATTCGTCCTCAATTCTCACCTATTAAATCTAGTCTACTCTCTTCTCCATTAACATCAACACTTACTCTTCTAAACACAAACAAAATATCATAACTGATGTGATATTAAGTAATTTTAACGTTATTTTAACTTTAATTTTACGTATTCGGTAAACAGTTAAAATGACATAAAGCAAGCAAACTTCCAAGTTGGATTCAAAACATCGTTTTTTATTAATTAAATTAAAAACATTTTTGTGGAAGAATTTCTATAAGAGATATCATTTTCTCATTTAAGATTTCCGAATTACTGCTTAAGACGTGCGCACAGTTTTTTCTAAAACATCATCTAATATATATAATATAATATAATAACTGAAAGGGCACAAAAAAATAAAAAAAATAAATGTTTCTTTTAGATGTTTTTTTACGGCAAATTAGCGATTTTTGTTGTTACAAATTCTAAGTTCTAATAAATAGTTGAGTTGATACAGTACAGTGATAACCAGAAAACTCTGAAATAGGAAGACGAGTTTTATGACTTTAATTAGTCCATGAGCAATGAGAATGAGACACAGCAGTTGTGCAGTGTAAACAGGCCCATTTACATTTAATAAGTGTCTCGCAAAGCGTTTTGCTTTGTAACAATAATGTCGTCTTCCTATTTTAGAGTTTTATACTATCACTGTTTATCACGATGAGAAAAGGGCCACATATTTTAAGAAAAAGAAGATTTTTTTATTTCCACTGTTTATCACGATAAGAAAAGGGCCACATATTTTAAGAAAAAGAAGATTTTTTTTCCCACTGTTTATCACGATAAGAAAAGGGCCACATATTTTAAGAAAAAGAAGATTTTTTTATTTCCACTGTTTATCACGATAAGAAAAGGGCCACATATTTTAAGAAAAAGAAGATTTTTTTTATTTCCACTGTTTATCACGATAAGAAAAGGGCCACATATTTTAAGAAAATACAGAAACACACCTTATATCCATATCTGAATCTTGAGGTTCTAAGCCCCCACTTCTCTCATACACATCAGCGTGATCCGAGCTCATAAACTTGAAATTAAAAAAAGTTTTAAAAAACGAAAAGTATTTTTAAAAATCTAACCATAATGATTATCTATTATAAAGAGGATAATACGGATAATAGCTGTGTTAATGCTTATAATCAAATTGGAAAACAATTTAAGTTACAGGAAAATATCTGGTAATAAGATATGTTTAAAGATTAAATGGTAAAAACTATTTTTAATTCTATATTGAAAATTGCAGAATTATTTTTTTCGTAAAATTATTGTTAATCATAATATTTGTATGTAAAGAAAAAGAAATTTTTTCTTGACTAATATTAGGAAATAAAAAGGAATATATTGAAAAACATGTTTGGCAAATAATTGCTTGTCAATAAAACACCTAATTAAATAATAAGAAAAACTGTTTACAGTTTTCATCGTATTGTATCAAATGAGAAAAAAAGTCAGTTGAAAAAGATTATTTTTAAAACAAATGATCATTTAGGGACTGTTTTTATGAAAAGTTGCATTTCCCTATTCACAAAAAGTATTGTTTACGCTTTATTGTGAGCAAAAAAATGCAGATATCATTGTTTTTATATCTAAAAACTGATGATTTCCAACTATTTTTTCTCTGAAAAAGTGACTTTTGGATTAACGCCACTGAAAAAAGGTGGTTATGAACTGGATTTAAAACTGTTAAAGATGTAAAAATATTGTTTCTTTCCTCATTTTTCCTTAGTGAAGATATTCCAGAATATATATTTTATAATCAAAGGTGTGATAAAGCAAAACTGAATGTAGTTAAGAAAGAAAAGACAAGTTTCCTCTCAAATTTCCGCGTGTAAAATCAAGGAACTTTTGCTATTGAATTGAGTATTTGCCACAACCTCACATTTTTTATTCCTTTTATCTTTGCAACCTGATTATGTAAACCTCTGATTTGCTTATACTTTATGATTTTACAGAATCCATATCAAATCTCTTATACGACATTGGGTTGCAAAGGTATTAGAAACTCTAAGTTTGTGGCAAAAATTCAATTCCTTTCATCTTTCTATAAAATTATTTCCAAAATCATCTTTTTTGTGAAATAATAAGATTGTGAGAGAAAAGCTAATTGAATTTTTCCATCTTCACTTTCAACTACAGTGGCAAGAAATGTAATTCTAAAATACTAAAATAATCAAGTATAGGTGTTTACGTCACTGCAAATATTGTGACCTTGTTGCTCCCTAGCTGCTAGGATTTTATGCAAAAATAAGTTTATTTTGTTAAATATTAGAAGTTCAAAGCATTCTTGTTTCTTTCAATAGCTCTTCAATTGAAGAAGTTATGATTGAAAAAATTTCAGATTATCGTACTTGCAATTTCCTTTTGTTTGAAGTGCATCAACCTTTTTTATTAAATTCTAAAATTTCTAATGAAATAGACTCAGATCATAACTCTGGATTATGTTGAAAATCGAAAAAGAAAATTTAAAAAGTTTTAAAAGAGCAAACTTCACTTTTCTTTTCCTGTTACCTGATTTCAAATACGGTGGTAGGTGATAATAATATAATGAAGACGATCTTTTATTTTAGTTTTTATTATTAATACACTTTTTTCGAATTTCAAGTTCACAAGTAATTAAAGAGTATCTTTTTTAATTGACAGGTTCTCTTGGTTTCCATTTTTTGTGAATCCATACTTTTAAAAGTTTAATATAAATCGAAATTTAAATCAAAAATCAACGAAGCGTTATATGTGAGAACAAAATAGATCAATTGTTAAGCCAAAATTCACAACATACAAATATATGAATCAATGTTTTGCCGGCCAAATTTTCATGAAATTAACTTAACTTTTTAACTGAAGCATATCGCTGAAACATATCCAGATTTATAAAAAATTGTTGGGATCTCTAGTGCAGGATGGAGAGTGGGGGGGGGATTAGTGCTCTCCCCTTATTTTCTCCGAGAGGAAAATGCAAAAGCGTATTTATCCAGGAAAACTATAGAAAGAATACCATTTGTGAAGCAAAGAAGAAAAAAAAAATTTCATCTTTTTTAATAATCTTCAATAACGTATTACGGATGCATATTTATATGGGGGGAACACTATGTTAGGTAGTAGTAGGTAGTAGTTAGGTAGTAGTTAGGTTGTAGGACATTGTCCTTCTTTAGGTAGTAGTATGAAGTAGTTAGGTAGTAGTAGGTAGTAGGACATTGTCCTTCTTTAGGTATTAGTAGGTAGTAGTTAGGTACTAGCTGACATTGTTCTTCTTTATTCAGTAGTAGGTAATTGTTAGGTAGTAGGACATTGTCCTTCTTTAGGTAGTAGTAGGTGGTAGTAGGTAGTAGGACATTGTCCTTCTTTAGGTAGTAGTCGGTAGTAGTTAGGCAGTAGGACATTATCCTTCTTTAGGTAGTAGTAGGTAGTTGTTAGGTAGTAGGACATTGTCCTTCTTTAGGTAGTAGTAGGTAGTTGTTAGGTAGTAGGACATTGTCCTTCTTTAGGTAGCCGGGGCCGGAAAATCAACTTAAATGAACTAAGTCTTTGCCACAAACTTTTAAATTCTAATCCCTACATCTTTACAACCCAATGTTGTACTTGTAGACCTGATATTTGAAACTAAAAATTCAGTTAGACTATATCAAAGGTTTACACAATTAATAAGGTTGCAAGGATCCTAGGACAGAGGAGTTTGTAGCAATTAGAATCATTTCCTTTACATTTTATTTCACACTTACCAAGACATAACAAATCATTTTGCTCCTTTTTTTTACATAAATTTGAAGATTTTACAATTTTTACAGAATACCGGAAAATTCAGTTTATTATTCAACGTTCTCCTACAATTTTCCAATCATATATGTGATATCTCTTTAACTTTAAGCTGGATTTTCATTTAAATTTTTGCATAGCATTTTTCCTTGAAAGGTTTTCAGGAATTTACATATCAAAATAGTTCATAAAATCTTTAGAAAATCAATCTGAAATTTGATCCGAAAAGTTTAATAGTTATGATAACTTTATCAAATTATTTTTATAAACATGTTTTATAAAGGAAACCAATTTTTCTGATGTTAACACTTTTAATAATAATAACAACAAAACTAATAATAATAATAATCATAGTAATAACAACAATACTACTAATAATAATAAGAATAATAAGAATATATCAACAATAATAATACCAACAATGAAACATAATAATGATAATAATGGTAATTAAATAATAATAAATACCTGTTCTATTATAGACGATTTTCCAACCTGAGAACAACCCAGAAAAGCAACTCTGAAAATTTTTTTTATTTTTAAAATATCCACTTCATAAAAAAACTTAAATAAGAAAAAAAGAAAATAACTTTTTTTATCACAGAAAAGATTACGTTTTAAAAGTTATAATATTAACTTAAAACCTAAGAGGTAAAAACTTGCATGATCCAAGCCGGTAAAACATGTACTGTATATGCATTCGGTTGTACTGTCCCGTCTGGAATACCAAGTGTATAGTCGTTTAATGCAATAAATGTGGTCTGGCAAGATCACAGTGCTGTTCAGAGATCAGAGGTGAACTTTTGCACGAGATAGCGCTTATCTACAATTCATGAACTCTGCATTGTGAAAACTTCTTACTCGGAACAATCAAAGAGTGAAAATAGCTGAATCGTATTTCAGCGTTTTTGCATTATTTGAATCCAGGACTTAATTTTAACTGAATTTTATCTGCCTACCGCCTCGCCGACTCAAATTGGAATTAGTGAATGAAATCCGGGCAAATTTAAATAATTTGAGCCGTGGCTCAAATATGGTTGGTTCCACTTAAAATTGTATTAAATTTTTCAAGATTTAAGCCGGCGCTCAATTGAAACCGGTTTTTGGAGGATTTGAGACGCGGCTTGAATTCATTAAATTCGGACACTGAATATTTAACTTTTAATAGATGGTTCAAATTTGAACGGGCAGGAGGTAGTTCAGCGACGCAGCTCAAATTAATTAAATTCTAGCCCCGAATATTTATTAAACTCTAGATAATGCATTTCCTGTACAAAGCTTTAAACGGTCGGTCCACACAGACTAGGGAATAGTGCTGTCTGAGATAATTTGTTATCAAGGCCGCGGATATAAGAGAAGAGGGGGGAGAAAAAATGTCGACACCTCTCTATCTATCTGTGTAAGCTGAGGTCAAAACATCCTATTGTGTATACATGTAGAGTTTAAGCATGGTAGATTAGCGCTATTTTACACTAAAGTTTTGAACTCTGTTTTTATTTTTATTTAATATTTATAATGACTTAATTAACCTGTAGACATGCTCTGGAAGACTTGTTGGCTCAACGCGGGGTATTTCTGAACAAATACAATTATATCATTCTTTTAGCTTTAATTGACATATTCGATTCAAACGTTACCTTTAAACCTTTGACTGAAAAATTCCTAGTATTTATTTGGTAATGATGATTTCTGAATATAAAAGAGAAATACTTGCAAAAAAAATGGTGGTGTAGATTGCAGTGCCCCAAGAAATTTAGGTTTTGCAACAAACTCTTTTTTCTCCTTATATCTTTGCAACCCGATGTTATAAACCTGTAATATTACAAACTTTAAAATTCTGTCAGATCAAAAATAGTCAAAGTTTAAAATATAAAATGTTTTCACCATCAAGTAGCAAAATATAGGGATTAGGAATTTGAGTTTGTGGCTTCAACTCAGTTGCTTTTTTTAAAGTCTTAAAGGGAGTGTTCGCGAAAAATGAAAGGGGGTATAGGCTTAATGCGATAAAAAAGCGCTTTTGATCGCTTCTAATCTTACTTCTATCTGTTGCGTCTATAAAGAGAAAATTGTTAAAGACGTCTCATACCGAATAACATGGCGCCCATACAAATTGAGAAAATTGCAACATACGATTTACACCGTAAAAAATCAATTTAATTTCAAACAAATCATTCAGATATTACAACCTATAGTTATCGATTATCTTTCGCCACATTTATATATATAATATGTTTTAATTGTTATGATCTGAGAGTTACTTATAAAAACATTTATTCCTGTTTCGAGGATTTTTGGAAATGAAGACATTTTCATATTTTCCAGGAATGTTCGAAAACAAGTTGGAAGCTAAATGTTATTTTAAAAATTAAAATCAAAACATATTATGAAAAATCAACTATATACAAATTTGGCGAAAGATAATCGATGACCATAGGGTGAAATATCTGAATGATTTGTTTGAAATTAAATAGATTTTTTACGGACTAAGTCGTATGTAGCATCTTTCTGAATTTGTATGGATACTACGTTCTTCGGTATTAGTCGTTTCTAACAATTTTCTCCTTACAGACGCAACAGATAGAAGTAAGATAAGAAGCGATCAAAAGCGCTTTTTTATCGCATTAAGCTTATACCACCTTTCATTTTTCGCGAACACTCCCTTTAAACTCATCTTTATTCAAACTCATAAAATAAACAAGAAAAAATAACAAAGACGTGAACAGAAAATTTTTAAAAATAAAGTAGTTTGAATTTATTTTATTTGGATATAGATTATCTGAGGCACGGCGCGCAGGCGGTCAGAGGGCGATCGCTGCGGCCTGGACAGGTGGGGGCCGCGAGCTTTGCGGGAAGAAAATGCTAAGGGGACGAACTGGAAAACATTTCCGAATTTTTTTTGCGTTCAGGCATTTTTACTTTTAGGAGTTGGTCATGTCTTCGTAAAATGAACCAATATAGTTGAATTATAAAAGTTGTTGGATACGATGCTTCTTGAAAGAAAAATACTTAATGGCAAATGACTGCTATATTCCACTGTCTATTGAGAGTGACCAAGGTTGTATTGCAATATTGTTGTAAATGAGGTCACTGATTATTTGGCAGTATGCTTATGAAGTCGGTCTGCGAATGCCGGGCCGGTCTTATTTTGGGCGTCAAACCTTATAGAAATCCAATGTATAGAAACCGCTACGTATAGCAACATGGCGTATTTTCCGGGAGAACATTTTTTATACTTTTGAGAAATTAAACGTTTTTGTAAAACATTGTAGCTTATCATTATCATTATCATAATTTCTATTTTTTTAACATACATTAAAGGAGCAAAATAGTTTACATTTGTACTGCTCTCTATTGTGTTTAAGATCCCCCATGGATTTCATTATGTACTGACAACATAAATGAATGATTATATGGTTTTACATAAAATTGCGTGTTACTATTAAAAAAGATATTTTATAAAAATGCTATCTACAGTTTTATTTTTAGAAAGAAAAAAAATCTTAAAAGTATAAAAAAAAGTTCTCTAGTAATGCTAACATGATTTTATAAAATGCAGTTTTACCATTTAAATAAAAAGATTTTATGAAAATTATATCTACTTTACACTGATTATTTAATTTCTCAAAAACAAAAAATGTTCTCCCGGAAAATACCCCTTGTTGCTATTTCTATAAGGTTTGACGCCCTTATTTTGTACCCACAAACCGTCTCTCTGAGCAAACTGGCCCCAAAATTTACGGAGTTAACTAAATTTCCTTGCTTTGGAGACGACATTTTTCGTACAAATTGAAGCCGCAGAGTAAGCAACCTTAATATATACAATCTTGATATACCTTGATCATATATACAACCGTTATGGATTAGGAAATATTTAAATTAAAAGGTATATTTAGCGAAAGGATTGCATGTGCTAGGAATATTACATTATTTTTAACATTATTGAAATACATTTTCTTATTATCATAAAAATACCTCGTGCTGAATCTTCAGTTGTATCCTTCTTTTTTCTTGTATACTGGGTTTTACGCTTAAACGAGTCTCCCCTAATTGTATTAAAGGTTAAAAAAGAAAATTATAAAAAAGCAGAGAAAGAATTTTAAGTTTTGAATCGATAAACATCTACAAAACTACAGCTAAACCAAAAACTGCTATTACCTTAACAGAAATAACAGCCTTAACGACAACACAACTAAGATGAAACAACTACAACATACAACAACAACACATATCTACAAGAGAATCAACAACAGTTGAAACAGCAACCACAGCAATAACTATAACAATCACAATCACAATAATAACAGTAATTTTACAATAAAACCAACTACAATATATGGACAACAATAAATAAACACTAGTAACAATAACAGCAACAACAAGTTATCAACTAGACCCACATCAACAAAAATTAAAACCACAGCATAATCAACAAAATACGACTGAACCCACATAATCAGATATGAAATCTAAAACATTTCAACAAACAAAACCAGCTAAACTCACATTATCAAAAATAAACTGATATTCTCGCATATAAGAACTATAACAGGTATAATAATGTTTACCTGTTTACTACTTTACTGCTAGTAGCAAGGAACTGTCTGGTGACTTCCACTTCTTCTGAAGGTAAACTGTTGTTCCTGGATCCACTCTAGGTATTGGAACTAATTTAAAGGGACTGTTCCTGGATCCACTCTAGGTATTTGAACTAATTTAAAGGAATTGTTCATGGATCCACTCTAGGTATTTGAACTAATTTAAAGGGACTGTTCCTGGATCCACTCTAGCTGTTAGAACTAATTTAAAGAGTCTGTTCCTGGATCCACTCTAGATATTGGAACTAATTTAAAGTGACTGTTCCTGGACCACTCTAGGTATTAGAACTAATTTAAAGGGACTGTTCCTGGATCCACTCTAGGTATTAGAACTAATTTAAAGTGACTGTTCCTGGATCCACTCTAGGTATTAGAACTAATTTAAAGGGATTGTTCCTGGATCCACTCTAGGTGTTAGAACTAATTTAAAGTGACTGTTCCTGGATCCACTCTAGGTATTAGAACTAATTTAAAGAGTCTGTTCCTGGATCCACTCTAGGTATTGGAATTAATTTAAAGAGACTGTTCCTGGACCACTCTAGGTATTTGAACTAATTTAAAGAGTCTGTTCCTGGATCCACTCTAGGTATTGGAATCAATTTAAAGAGACTGTTCCTGGATCCACTCTAGGTATTGGATCTAATTTAAAGGGATTGTTCCTGGATCCACTCTAGGTGTTAGAACTATTTTAAAGGGATTGTTCCTGGATCCACTCCAGGTATTTGAACTAATTTAAAGGGACTGTTCATGGATCCACTCTAGGTAATGGAACTAATTTAAAATGTCTGTTCCTGTATCCACTCTAGGTATTTGAACTAATTTAAAGAGTCTGTTCCTGGATCCACTCTAGGTATTAGAACTAATTTAAAGGGACTGTTCCTGGATCCACTCTAGGTATTGGATCTAATTTAAAGGGACTGTTCCTGGATCCACTCTTGGTATTGGATCTAATTTAAAGGGACTGTTCCTGGATCCACTCTAGGTATTGGATCTAATTTAAAGGGACTGTTCCTGAATCCACTCTAGGTATTGGATCTAATTTAAAGGGACTGTTCCTGGATCCACTCTAGGTATTGTAACTAATTTAAAGGGATTGTTCCTGGATCCACTCTAGGTATTGGAACTAATTTAAAGGAACTGTTCCTGGATCCACTCTAGGTATTAGAACTAATTTAAAGGGATTGTTCCTGGATCCACTCTTGGTATTGGATCTAATTTAAAGGGACTTCTCCTGGATCCACTCTAGGTATTGGATCTAATTTAAAGGGACTGTTCCTGGATCCACTCTAGGTATTGGATCTAATTTAAAGGGACTGTACACGTAATTTCAAGTTATCTTCCATTCAAAGAGATAAAAAAAACTCATGAAAGCTCTTTTAAGCATGGTCTTTCTAGGCATAAAGAGTTATAATGGGGATAAGTATGATCATAATGATGATATCAATATTTTTGATGATTATAATAAAAAAGATAATAATGATAATCATGAAATTACAATAATATTGATAATAATTATAATTAGAATAATGATTATATGATTATGATAATGACAGTAAGAATAAAAAAATAATGCTAATCATGATCATAAGACGAATTTCAGTAATGCTAGTTGTAAAATTTATAGTTAGGTACCTTTGTGATTATAGGAATTGGAGTTTTTGTTGAAAGTCGTCGTTGATTTAGCTTGGAGGGATCGCTCTAAATATAAGTTTTGTTAATATTCTTGATGTGCATGTGTCAGAATAACTTATGTTAGTTCTAATATAAAAACAAGAGTCCTAGTGTCTAGTGTCTAGTGTTATACTGTATAATTAGTGTCTAATGTTATACTGCATAATTAGTGTCTAATGTCTAGTATCAAGTGAATTATAATGTATAATTAATACTTAATGTCTAGTGTTAAGTGGCATGTGTTTAGTGTTTAGTGTTTAGTGTCTAGTGTCTAGTGTCTGGTGTCTGGTGTCTAGTGTCTGGTGTCTAGTGTCTGGTGTCTATTGTCTGGTATCTAGTGGCTGGTGTCTAGTGTCTGGTGTCTAGTGTCAAATGTGTTGCGTCAAGTGGAAAGTGTCAAGTGGAAAGTGTCTAGTATCAATTAGTGTCTAATATTTAGGTTTAAGTGTATAGCTAATTTCAAGTTCTTATAGTTTCTATTTTCCAATTAGAAGTCTTGTGTCTTGTGGCTGGTGTCTAGTGTCTAGTTTCTCTATTTAGTCAGATCTGTAGTGTCTGATTTCTAGTGTTTAGCGTCTACTGTCTAGGGTCTAGTGTCTACTGTCTAGGGTCTAGTGTCTACTGTCTAGGGTCTACTGTCTACTGTCTACTGTCTACTGTCTAGTGTCTACTGTCTAGTGTCTACTGTCTAGGGTCTAGTGTCTACTGTCTAGGGTCTAGTGTCTACTGTCTAGGGTCTAGTGTCTACTGTCTAGGGTCTAGTGTCTACTGTCTAGGGTCTAGTGTCTACTGTCTAGGGACTAGTGTCTACTGTCATAGTGTCTAGGGTCTAGTGTCTACTGTCTAGTGTCTACTGTCTAGTGTCTACTGTCTAGGGTCTAGTGTCTAGGGTCTAGTGTCTACTGTCTAGTGTCTGCTGTCTATGGTCTACTGTCTAGGGTCTAGTGTCTACTGTCTAGGGTCTACTGTCTACTGTCTACTGTCTAGTGTATACTGTCTAGGTTCTAGTGTCTACTGTCTAGGGTCTAGTGTCAACTGTCTAGTGTCTACTGTCTAGGGTCTAGTGTCTACTGTCTAGGGTCTAGTGTCTACTGTCTAGGGTCTAGTGTCTACTGTCTAGGGTCTAGTGTCTACTGTCTAGTATCTACTGTCTAGTGCTGTTTATGATAATTTCAAAGAACTTTCTACTTTACTTTAGTTTTTCTGATGTTCATTACTTATCTTACAAATCCTTCTTTAAATCTATGACGACCTAACCTGATATTTCTCGCGCATATGCGCAGTTTGATCACGCATACTCAAAGATCTTGATGCCGCGTTTCTTTGTTTTAAATCAAGCAGTGCTGGGTTTCCAGGGCAGAGGCCTGGAATTAATAATTTTTAAAAGATTCTGCAGAGAAAGAAACTTACTAGAGCCAAGTAGCTGTATGGGAATAAACTCAGTCAAGAACTGATCTGTCATTCAACAAAAAAAATGATTAAAAAATTAATAATTTTGAAATTCGTATTGCAATAAAATAGTAAAAGTGAGGAAGAAATATACATTAAATGGTTTCTACAATCTGTGTACATCTAGAAATGCATTTTGGAACACACTTGGTATTTTTTTAATATCCAATATGACATAACTTCAAAAGAAGAGAGAAAAATATGAGAGAAAAAAAAACAAAGAAATGATTGAAGGTTAAAATCCTAAAAAGGATCGACCGTAAGGGTAATTTCAAGTGACCCTTTATTCAAATGTAGCAATTCCCGATTAACAACAGTACCCTTGAAACATTAATCTAATCTAAGTGTGGAAAACGTTCTTTTTCTGACTCTAAAAGTGTGTAATTTCGCCGTTATTTATTTATAGACAAGAAATGAGCCAGATCTTAACCATCTTTGCATGGAGGGTCAATTATAAGGTTATGATTAAAACCTGCTTGTGTTGGTTTTCTGGCTGGTGACCCCCGGCTGTTGTTTTGGCTGCCAAGCCTGGTACTAGGACCACTACTTCCTAAATTAGAAAATTTTATTTCTTTCTTCAGAAAACCCTTCTACACTGAACACCGATAACAACAATGCAATAAAGACGACTTTTGATTAATGATGATTATATCCCTATCAAGCATTTTACAAAATACAAGTTTACAAGTAAACAAAATGAGGTTGTTAATTGACAAATTCTCCTTGTTTACATGTTTATGAGTCTCTACAGTTTGAAAGATTAGTAAATATGATGAAACACATGTACTGAATTACATAACTGTTTAATCACGTATAGAGAATATGATAAAACACATGTACTAAATTACATAACTGTTTAATCATGTATAGAGAATATGATAAAACACATGTACTGAATTACATATCTGTTTAAGCATGTATAGGGAATATGATAAAACACATGTACTGAATCACATAACTGTTTAATCACATATAGAGAATATGATAAAACACATGTACTGAATTACATAACTGTTTAATCACGTACAGGGAATATGATAAAACGCATGTATTTAATTACATAACTGTTTAATCACGTACAGGTAATATAATAAAACACATGTACTGAATTACATGACTGTTTAATCACGTATAGGGAATATAATAAAACACATGTACTGAATTACATAACTGTTTAATCACGTATAGGTAATATAATAAAACACATGTACTGAATTACATAACTGTTTAATCACGTATAGAGAATATGATAAAACACATGTACTGAATTACATAACTGTTGAATCACGTATAGAGAATATGATAAAACACATGTACTGAATTACATAACTGTTGAATCACGTATAGAGAATATGATAAAACACATGTACAGAATTACATAACTGTTTAATCACGTACAGGGAATATGATAAAACACATGTACTGAATTACATAACTGTTTAATCACGTACATGGAATATGATAAAACACATGTACTAAATTACTATACTATTAAAAACAATCTTATTAATATTTTTTTTTTCCATTCTTTTGTTCGTTTTCCTATTAAAACTTCATTAGTCCACTTTTCTTCCAAACCGATCGTTTCCCATCTGTGTGTCGAGAAAACTTTTTTATGTTAAAAACATACTTTATTTTTAATTTTTAAGAAATTGTGTAACTCATTCAACAAAATAATTCGTTCTTTATTTGATGAATCGTTTTATTTTGAACTAAAACAACGGCCAGGCCTAGATATAACAAAAGAACATTTACTTAGAATATTTGTATTTAGAATATTTCTGAGCATTTCTGCAGTTGGCAGCAGGCCCACGGTTAAAAGCCAGGCTCAAAAGAAAAAAGAACAACAACATGTTTCAGTATTTATTCATGCAATTATGTAGACATTTACATATTTTATTGATAAAATATCGATAATGTTTTGCAAACTTTATAACAAAAAATATACTTTCTAGATTTTAAAGTTAATTTCAAATAATTGTAGAATATAATATAATTTGCCAGAAATAAACTACTGTTTCTAATCAAAAACCCAGGGGGGTTAAAATTTCACTCTTTAGATTTTATTTTTCAGAATTTATCAGAAAGTATCTTTTCGCCCAAACAAACTATTCATCTTAATTTCGTAAAAAAAAATAATTCGCTAATTTTGTTGACATTTGGTTTCTTTACATCGTACATATTATTTAAGAAAACTAATAAAGAATTTTAATAATTCGTTAGCTCTTACTTAAACCTTCTTTATAACATTATAAACTTTTTTCTCATATATTGAAAGTTTGTTAATAATAAGAACTGTAAAGTTGATATTAAAATATTTCTACCTGACATTATAATAATAAAAAACTTTTTTTAGTAATCGAGAATTTCGTTTTGAAATATGTCTCCTCGAACGTGTTCAGAAATGTTCTGCTATTGAAATATTTCTGCTCGAACGTGTTCAGAAATGTTCTGCTATTGAAATATTTCTGCTCAAACGTGTTCAGAGAAGTTCTGCTAAAGAATTATTTCTGCTTAAACGTGTTCAGAGAAGTTCTGCTAATGAAATATTTCTGCTCGAACGTGTTCAGAAATGTTCNTTAGTCGGTGGGTCCTTTTCTGCTTTTAGAAATAATTCGTCAAAATTTTGCCCAACACCAATATTAGCCATTTTTCTGAAAACAAATTATCTTATTATATTATATTTAATATTTAAATATTTCTCAGTTATATTTTCTACTGTAAATATTTTTCAATGTAAAGTGAAAACCAGAAAACTGTGGAATAGGAAGACGACTTTAAAGCAATATTTTCACTAGTATGGCTTAAAAAGCCCTTATATTAAAGGGAGTGTTCGCGAAAAATGAAAGAGGGTATAGGCTTAATGCGATAAAAAAGCGCTTTTGATCGCTACTAATCTTACTTCTATCTGTTGCGTCAATAAGGAGAAAATTGTTAAAAACGACTAATTCCGAAGAACGTAGTGTACATACAAATTCAGAAAGATGCAACATTCAACTCGGATCGTAAACAAATCAATTTAATTCCAAACAAATCATTCAGATATTACAAACAATAGTCATCGATTATTTTTCGACGCATTCGTAAATAGTTGATATTTCATAATATTTTGTATTTTTCATTCATTCATTTATTCCTGTTTCGAGGATTTTTATCATGAAGACGACATTTTCATATTTTTAAGGAATGTTCGAAAATCCAGCGCCAGCGAAAATTGTTTTAAAAAAACAAAATCAAAAATATTATGAAATATTAAATATATACAAATGCGTCGAAAAATAATTGATGAATATTGTTTCGAATATCTGAATGATTTGTTTGGAATTAAATTGATTTGTTTACGATCCAAGTTGAATGTTGCATCTTTCTGAATTTGTATGGGCGCTGCGTTCTTCTGTGTGAGTCGTTTTTAACAATTTTCTCCTTACAGACGCAACAGATAGAAGTAAGATTAGTAGCGATCAAAAGCGCTTTTTATCGCATTAAGCCTATACCCCCTTTCATTTTTCGCGAACACTCCCTTTAAGTAAAACCGGTTTTCACTATAAATGTGGTCTGTTTCTTGTCCATTGGACTATTTCAATTATAAGTCTAAAAGTCGTCTTCCCGTTCCATATCTTTCTGATTTTGACACATATTTGATACTGCCTAAAATATGGATTGTGCATCAATATGAACATTTCAATTCTTACGTATTAGAAGGAATTAATTTAACATTAATTAATTTTCTCACTTCATTTTAAGAAATTTAGCTAGCTTACTTTTTATTTGTTTGAATTCTAAAACCAATTTTTGAACAATTTATTTTTTGTTCACAAAGATGAATACACTATTGCAAACAAATATTTTAACAGAGTGGTAGTTTTTCCCTTTAATTAATATTTAATTTTTTTTTAGTTTTTAAACTCTTTGGATTTTTTTGCGTTC